TGCGTTCGTGGAGCAGCGTGGTATTGAGCATCAGTCAGCTCCATGTGTTGGCTGAGGGCCTCAGCCAAAATGGTGCAATCGAACAATGCATTGATACCCGCATCAGTTAAAGCTTCTAAAGCTGGCGCCAACATCGATTTCTTCGGCTTGCGGCTCGGATTCGCCGTCGGTCTTCGAAGCTTGCGTTCGATCTATCGACTTGCAGTTTGTTCGACGGCAGTGGATCGCTTCGTGGCCCCATCCCCGGCAAAAGTTGCACTGACCATTGAAACGAAATTTGTTGTTCAATGGTTCTTGGATGACCCATTGAGGGCATTGCTTGTGCAATTTTGCGATTTGCTGCTGTTCCAACCCCGCGTGCTCCGATCCTGTCCTTCTGCGACAGGGGCCGTTCCCGCTCCTGCCGCCGTCGTCGTGTGCATGTCATTGGCCATTATTGTCCTTCGCCACATTTACTTACCATCGCCCTCCAAACCCTCCGCCTGCTCTTTTGCTTGCTCTGTTGTTGCGCTGCCCCTGCCCCCCCCCCCCCCCCCGCGCGCTGTCTCCCGCGCGACCCCCCCCCCCCCCCTTCCCCTTGGCCCCCCCCTCTTTTCAAATGGCCTTTCCAGCTCAGGTGCTTTCCTGAGCTCGGCGAGGCAAACATCGGCACGGCCTGCCTCGTTGGGCCCGAGTTTCTACGCGATCCGGCTTTCACCGTCCCACAGTTCCCAGCCGCGCGGCTGGAAATGGCCCCGCGCTGCGAGGCGCTCGTCTGCCTCTTTGGTCTTGTTCGCGCTGTTCCCGCGCAGTGAACTGTGCTTTTCGCATCGCGCGTCTGCGCGGCGCTGCTGCTCCTACACGCGCGGCCCAAGTCACCCGCAATAATGAGATGGGGCGGGGCCAGCGGCCAGCCCCATCTACGACTCGAGCGCCGCAGGGGCGACGAGCGGATGGACCCCCGTCGCCCCCCGACTTGGTCGCCGCCGTCGCCGCGGCGATCGGGGAACAAAAAGACGCATCATAAGATAAAATTGCCCCAAGGCCCAGAGGCTGGCCATAATGCTGGCCAGGCATCTACCATTGATGGCGATGTTGCTGCTGCTGCTGGTGATGAGCAGGGGCAGCGAGGTGAAATAATGGAGTCCTACGAGAAGGCGTTCCGACAGCATGGCGACGAGGCCGTGGATGGCCCAGCCACGCTGCGCCTTGCGTCTCATCTTCTAGATGCTCGCAAGGCCCAGGGCGACGCCAAACCTGTCCTGCAGCAGCGCGCCCACGTGTCCGTCCGCTTGCAGGCTGCACAGAAGAAGCAGTCCAAGGTGCCCTAGGCCGTTGCAGCACAAGGGAAGCTTCTTTCCGCAGACGACATCTATGCACCGTACCATGGCAGAACCCCTGGGGCATTTTTCGTAGATGCCGATGTGCTCAAGAGCATTGAGGAGGATTTGGGAAGGACATGCGCCTCAATTCGCATCATTGGAAATCCTCGCGGCCCCTGTCGGTTCTGCGGCGGAGGTTTCAGGTGGATTTTCCTGAGAGCCCCCGCCGCATATGGCGCCCCGCTTGGTACGGTGAATACTTTTGGTGTCTTCTGCAGGGCGACAGCTGTGCACCGTGCCGCGCTTGGTTCTCATCGACGGCCTTAGAGTACGTTGTTGGGTTCTCTCTTGTTGTCCCATTTGGGTCGAATGGTTGGCATTTTCAAGTTCGCTGGGCTTGCAAAGGGGCACGCCAGCGCAGTCGGCATTCGACGGCGCCAGGGGGCTCTTCGAAATTTCGAGGCTCGGTACGGTGATCAAACGTCGTCCGCGTATCCTTGAAAATGCCCGACGTTCATATCATAAGTTGCAAGAGAAGGAGGGGGCTGCCCAGCGTGATGCGGTGGCCCTGCATGGGGAGTTGCGACGCGCGACGCCTCCAGATGCCCCCCCGCTTCGAGATCCCGTTCGAGCCGCCCCCCGAGGTGTTGGAGGCCGAAGGCAATGGCGACGTTTAGGATCGCGTGGCCAACCCAGCTTCCGCGCAGATCCAGCAGCTCTGCAGGGCCGCGGCACCTACGACGTCAGCGCCCGCTGGCTCGTCTTGCGCCGCCGCGGACGCACGGCACGGCCCCGGTGTTGGTGGCGATGGTGGCTGGCATTGGACCCGAGGCTGTGCCAGATTCTCAGAGTGCTGCTCGCACCGTGGGATATCAATCGTTGTGCAGTCCGGCTCGATGCGGGTGTCATTGGGCAGGCGTCGCCCCTCGCGCACGGCCGCATCTTGGACCGAGATGGGATCCCACTGGCGGTGAGCTGGTCAAAGGGGCGTCTCATATCAGCGATGGTCGATGACCCTGGATGGCCAGCGCCTGTGCTATACTCAGCACGCCTACGCGACAGTGTGGGCTTGGACGAGGCCAATATGAGGTTGCTCTCCATTCACGGGGGATCCATCATGCGCTCAGTGGGTCCTTTGCTGGCAGATGCCGATAGGAGCGTCGACTCTGCCTACAGCGCGGGTTCATGCGTAAGGCTGACCACGTCGCGCTTGCGCCTTCGCGGATTGCGCGCGCTCTGTCTTCCCCAGCCACTGCGGTAGATTTGTTTCTGGCATCTCATGAAATTGAGGAGTGGTAGATTAGTTTCGAGTCTTCTTTCAATGTGATGGGGGGCCTCGTGAGCCTGTGCGCCTGCACCTACGGCCTGACGCGGTCTTCTCCGGCAGCTGGTGCGCACTGCGCCCGCGCACGTTGCCCCGTCCAACTACCTCTCGGCCCTCGACCTGGGCCCCGCAGTTGCGCGGCGGCTAGACAGATGGTTGATGGGGCGGTTTTTCTACTCAGCACGATTCGGTTGTTGCTAAGGCTGCGGCGCGACTCAATCAGGCGCGGGCGGTTTTTTCATGAGGATGCTGCGATGGAGATTGCCGCAGTGCATGACGCAGCGCGACGCAACTACCTTGCTCGACAATGGGCGCCAGTCTGGGGGCACATAGCTCACGCTCAAGATCCTGTTCGAGTTGCTTGCGTCTGGCAGTGGCTCCGGCATGAGGTTGAGATGATGGCTAAGCAGAAGAGATAGCTTCACGACGATCCAGCTGCGGTGTCGCTGAAGCACACGGCCTTGGTGGATAATCGTTCAGGTGAGGGACTCGATGTCCGGTCGGATTATCAAGTGAAGGTTCTCCACAAGTTAATTGGAGATAATCTTGAGAAGATTCTTCATTCTTGGTGGGATCTAGCGAATCAGTGCGGCGAGTAATTGCCACAAAAGTCCTTGAAATTATGGCAACAGCCTGTCTTAATAATGAACGGCGCGACCAGGCGCTCGGCCAAGCTCATGCACGAGATACTTCGTCTGCACAAGGTATGGCGCCCTAGTGTTGTTGAGAGATACCCGGGCGTTTTCTACAGCAGTCTAGAGGTGGCGCTCAATTCGGAGGTGGAATCGCCGCAGAAGCAGTGGAGCGCATCGTGCCAGCGGTTGCTGCGGACCCAGCAGCCAGCTCAACGTGCCTCGTGGCTCCGCAGCTCTGAAGGCGATGAGGCAACGGATAGCAGCTTGGGGGGAGGCGGCAGGTTAAACGATGACGTTCAACGTTTTACCCTTCGCGGGCAGAAGCAAAGATTTCCTTGGTGGATCCCTTTTTATTGGACCTTTCACGAACGGGTCCGAATCCACCTTGTTCTGATTCGAAACGGGGCGTTTGTGCTCGAGGTTCGAGGCGACTGCTTGCCGAATCTAGGCATACACCGTATAAGGATCACAATTCAAATGCACATGGTTCTGCAAATAATCATGGCACATGCTGAGCAACGTGGACAAGTGTGATCTCGTCGTGAGATGATTTTGTGCCCGGCCTGCCATTGTATTTCGAAGTCTGTTTCTCCCATTGCCCGATGGCCGACCGCAGTTCCGAGAACTGCGTTTGCGGCCGGGTCAAGAGCGCGTGGATGATGTTTCGGTGTTTGCCTGCGGATTTGCGGCGCAATTGTTCAACGATGTCCGCCATGTTTCAACGCCGTCGCCTTCGCCAACCTTTTTGGACAATGTCGAGCGCGTCGCCTTCAACAAGGGACGCGAGAGCTGTGTATACATCATAGTTCATGCCTTCGATGGCTTGTGTTTCGACGGGCGCGCCAACAAGGTGTACAGCGAGATCGTCCATGAATTTGATCCTCTCCCCTGTGTTATTCGACGCTCAAGCGTACCTATCACGACCATGGGGATGCACAGACGAGAGATATTTCAGACATTTGAACGAAACCGTTTTCCATTCAGTTTTCCCCCGATCCAAAAACAATGTGTTTTCCGATATGCTTGAGGTATATTTGCCCAGAGAGCCTCTGAAGGAGGATTTGGTTCCGGTATGTTTCCTCAGTTCGTCAACGCGGACTTTGTGTTCGTTTTCCTTTTGCCGGGACGCTTGCTTCAAAGCGGAATCAAATTTGACATATTCAAATTGTCGGACATTTGTTACAGTGTTGCATTGAATTGTTCTGCAGTGTCCGTTATCATTGGTTTGGGCGGTGTTTCAATTTACCTTCGAAGTAAGATATGAGGTTCAATCCCAGAGGTCCAAAATAGCAAAACGCTGCACTATCATAGCAACATCGATACGGCTTATGATAGCTCCCACTTGCTTGCGGTACATATGTTGCTATGTGTTGTTTTCCATCGCATGGCACGATTACTAACGACGTGCCGAATCAGTATGATTTTCGACCGACACGGTCGGACCGATTTATGATATCGAGGTCGCATAGGGGAGGATAACTTAAGGAATCCGACCCTAAGGAACGCTACCGTAAGGTGCGGGGAGGTTTCGGTCATCGTGCTACCAGAAGGAACGCGTACGGGGGTTTTTGTTTGGCCACGGCGGGGCTAAGCCACCAACAGTTTCCACGGCACAAGTCTCAGGAACGGCCCGAAAACCCGAGACTCTCTTGAACCCAAGTCGAATCCCATTGCGGCGTTTCGATTGCATCCCTCCAGCGGCGGTGCAGCCTCTCGTGTCCCGCTCCGCTCCCTGGCGAGGCGCTCGAGACGCCCGACGATGCCGTCCCGGCCAGCTCCCAGCCGCTGGACCCGCACGATTTCGCAGAGGCGGGGCCAGCCACGCTTTTTTATGGGAAAGTGCCAGCGGGCGACGTCGAGCTTGACACAGCTCGACTCCCAAGAGAGGAGGAGGAGGCGAAGGAGGAGGAGAAGGAGGAGGCAGGATGTCACCACCCACCAAACCACCCCAACCCAACCCGAGGGCCTCAATTTGCCCTCCACTTCCAGTGGTGGGTTGGGTGGGGGTGGTCGGGGAACATTGAGAGAACACGCAGATGGACCCCTTTCCCCCCCTCCCTGGAACCCGAAATTCGGGTCTTCGGGTTTGGGTGGGGTTGTCTGGTAGGTTGTCAGCTGCTCCCTGTCTGCTGTCTCCGCCTGGCCCCTCTTCCGCCTGCCCGCCCGCCCCGCCGGCCCTGGCCTCCCACCTGCGCGTTCGTCGTCGTCTGTCTGCTCCTCCCCTCCTCGTCCCCTCCCGCCGGGCAGCACGGCCTGCCCGGGACCGGCGTGGCGGCGTGTAGGGCTCCAGCCGACCCTGCCCAGCTGGACGAGGAGGCTCTGAGGATGCGGGAGCCCCGTCCACGCGCAGATGGGGGTGGGGGGAGGGGGGAGGGCTTCTTAGAAGCACCCCTGCTTCTTAGACGGCGCGGGCCTCAGCGCCTTCTAAGAAGCAGCCTCCTTGCCCTCCCCCCTCCCTCCGCCCCCTCGTGCTCGCCACCAGGAGCCGGGCGGGGAGGAGGAGGAGGAGAGGAGGAGGAGGAGGAGGAGGAGGAGGAGGAGGAGGAGGAGGAGGAGGAGGAGGAGGAGGAGTAGAAGGAGGAGGTGAGAGAGGAGGTGAGTGATGAGGAGGACGGAGAGGAGGAGGGGGAAGGATGAGGAGGAGGAAGGAGGAGGAGGAGGAGGAGAGGAGACGGAGACGGAGGAGACGGAGGAGACGGAGGAGGACGGAGGAGGAGGAGGAGGAGGAGGAGGAGGAGGAGGAGGAGGAGGAGGAGAGGAGGAGGAGGAGGAGAGAGGAGGGAGGAGGAGGCGGCGGAGGAGGCGGAGGATGCGGAGGAGGCGGAGGAGGCGGAGGAGGGCGGAGGAGGAGGAGGAAGAAAGAGGAGGAGGAGGAGGAGGAGGAGGAGGAGGAGGAGGAGGAGGAGGAGGAGTTCAGGGAGACCACGTTTGGAGGCCACCTTGCCTCCGACCGTGGTCACGATTTGGAATGCTTCGGAGAGTGTCTTGGGGCTGTCTTGGGCCGCCATGGGGCTTTCTTAGGGCCATCTTTGACCCCTGTTGCGCCGTTTTGGGGCTCTCTTGGATTGCTTGGAAGCCATTTCGGATGGTTGTGGGGCGATTTTGGACCCTCCCAGGCGGCTTCGGACGCCCAGAAGACTGCCGTATTGGAGCGTCGGGGAGCCGAAAAGAGGAGAACCCCAACATTCACCCAAAAAACCGAAGAATATCAATGATTGCGAAGGCCTGACGGCCGGTGCCGCCGACCCTGTTCGCAATGCGCAGCAAGAGGCACGGGCTGTGGGATGGTTTGGGGGAACGGGAAGAAGGACGAGAAGGTGGGGGAGGGAGGTGTCGTATCTGACCCGGGACTTCCCCGGGACTCCCCCGGGACCCCCCCCGGGACCTCCTCTCCCCCCCCCGTCGGGGAAGGGAAAGGGAAGGGGCTTCCCTTCGACTCAATGACGACGTTGCTCAAGGTCGGTACGGGGGGGGGGCGTCGTATCTGACTCGGGGGGGGGGTCGCTACCCCCCCCGCTACCCCCCCCCCCTCCCGGCGGGGGAGGAATGAAAGGGAAGGGGCTTCCCTTCGACTCAATTACGAGGTTGCTCAAGGTCGGCTTGGCTGGAGCCCAGGGGAAGAGGAGTCCCAGGGGGGGGCGTCGTATCTGACCCGGGGGGGGGGTCGCTACCCCCCCCCCCCTCCCGGCGGGGGAGGGATCAAAGGGAAGGGGCTTCCCTTCGACTCAATTACGAGGTTGCTCAAGGTCGGCTTGGCTGGAGCCCAGGGGAAGAGGAGTCCCAGGGGGGGGCGTCGTATCTGACCCGGGGGGGGGGTCGCTACCCCCCCCGGCGGGGGAGGGATCAAAGGGAAGGGGCTTCCCTTCGACTCAATTACGAGGTTGCTCAAGGTCGGCTTGGCTGGAGCCCAGGGGAAGAGGTCTCCCAGGGAAAGGGAAGGACAGAGACGACGAGTACAAAGAATGACGAAGATGACGGCTCGAACGGAAAAGCCCCTCACACACGCCGACAGGGTCGGCGGATTTTTGCCTATTGGGGCCGTCTTGGGAGTGCTCTTGGAGGCTTTTTGAAGCCTTTGGGGCCGTCCTGGCGCCCTCTTGGGCCATCTTGAGGTCACGTCGGTCACTCTTTGAGCGCTCTTGTGCTGTCTTGGGGCTCCCTGGGACGCCTCCAATGACCCCCCTGAACGTCCTAGGTGTGCACGGAAGGCTTGGCGAAACGCCCTGCGAGGCCCGGGGTGGCGCTTCGAGGCCCGTCCGGAGGGTACCAAAGCCCCAGATCCTGGGAGTCTGGTTTTGTGTGGGGGGGTCCCCCCGCCCGGGCTTATAGCAATATAGGAAGATGAATGTGTATGCAGACGGATGTGTGTATACAGGTATACATATATCATGTCCAACGCCTTCATACTCCATGCTTGTGCTCATTTCTTCCGACTGGTGGGTATTCCAGCATGGTCCTCCTTCCTCCCTGATCTCCCCAGCGTCAACCTCTGGTTACCTGCCGCCCCGCCAAGTCTGGTGTTCCCGCCCGCGCGGAGGCGGTCGACGCGCTCAAGAGGCTGCCCAAGGGCTGGTGCATCGAAAAGATCTTCTCCATGGAGAAGTGGAAGGAGAAGCAGGAGCCGCGCGTGCGTCTCTACATCCATCCAGTGATTCCCGGGAAGATATGGGACGTGGGGGGTAACACTAACGTCCAGAACACATACGTGAATCAAGGGAGGAAAAACCACCCGGACCGGACACTTGGCGTTTACTAAGCAGCCTTGCCCAGTTCCATTCTTTCTCTGGGCGCTCTTACTAAACGACTTCGCGTGTCGGGGTGGGTATTATGGGGGTGGATTGTCTGACCTCTACTGAAACTTTTGGAGGATCCTTGGATTTGTGTCTCATTATTTGCGTACCTCTGGGCCGCCCCTTCATACATTCATCCATTCATCTCCTAAGCAGATCTCGTTGCTTTTCCCCCCTCTCTGCTGCTCATCTTTGACCGCCAGCGCCCCTCCCACCAGCCGCCTGCCGGCTGCGGGAGCCGGCGGGAGCGGGGGTCGCGGCGAGCCTGCAGGCGTTTGTGCCCGCTTGTTGACTCTCCGATCAGCCGTGCGCAGAGGGGGGCAACGGGGGCGGGGTAAAGGCTTCTCAGAAGCACCCCTGCTGCTAAGAGGCCTTCCCCCCTCCCCCTATCCCCCCCTTGGGCGCGCCGCCCGCTCGAGCGCTCGCTCTGCGGCGTGCCTGTGCAAAGGGGAGCCGCGCGCCCATGCCGTGGAGGAGCATTTGCCCCGAGCGCTTGGTGCGCCCTCGAGGTGGTTCCTGACGGTTGCAGGCTGCTTGCGCGTTGGCAGAGCGGTGAATCGAGGGCCCTTCGGGCGCGCAGATGCAGTGGAGACCCATGCCAAGAAGATGCCCTGCTTGCCTCTGGGGTGCCCTGGGTTTCTTGGTTTCCGACGGTTCTGCGATGGAAAGCGTGAGGTCTCTACACCGAGCATCAATGCACGTCTTGGAGTCTTAGATTTGGGTCCTTGCGGACGGTTTCTCGTGGTCGAGCTCCTATTGCAAGTCTACAGAGCTCCGATTGTTGCCGCGTTCGCCCCCCCTGCAGGCCGCGAGAAGTCCCTGCTCTGGGGGGTGCGTCTCTCTGACCCTGTCGGAATGCCTTCGATGCGCGTGGGGCCATCTGCCAAGCCCTTGCAAACGGGGTGTTAGTGAAAGGGGTGGTAGTTGTAGCCAAGGGGTGTCACTACGAGCGACTACAAGGTGACGGGGCATTCACCTCGCACTAGTGCGTGATACATCGGGACGACAAGATCGTCGATACATCATTCTAAGGCAGATCAGTTTTTCGAAGGCACAATTCAACATATACACCTAGGTACCACCCCGTTTACAAACACCCCGTTTGCAGGGGCTTGGATCTGATCCCGTCCCTCCACCGGTTCTCTCCAAACCCGCGCTGCTCAGCCCATGACTCTGTTCCTCCTAGTCTGCGTGGCCAGAGGTTCTTCGCGGCCAGTGCAATATCGATCCACATTCTGTGTCAATGTCCGTCGGCATGCGTTTAGGCGAACAGGCCCGCGCTGCAGCGCACACGGACATAATCACCAGCCGAGTCCGAGGCCCAGCCCCCGCCCTCGAGCATTTAGACGTAGCTTGCCCCGTTGGTTTCCAGGGCGTCTCTTGACTCGGAAGCGATGCGCCTTGGGTTTTTGTTTGCCCGTATCTTGAGTTTCTCTCGCGAGTTCCTGGTGATGTTGCGAGTGGGCGTCGTTGCACTTCGACCAAGTTGGACGCCGGATTGAATGACCGCCGCTGCGCGCATTCCAGGGCCACGCGGCGGAGGGTCGACGAAGGTTTCCCCTGAATGACAAACGAGTTCAGAGAAAAACAACCGACAGTTCCAACACAGAAGTCATAAGTATTACACATTCGCTTGTCGGATACGGGAATTCAAACACCTATTCTTGGCTGTAGAGAATTGCGTTCAGTATTATGTACTGAGTTTTCGTTGTGAGGTTTGATATTGTTTTTTCCTAATCAGTATTTGAATGTTTGTTGAAGGTCCATCATCAACTGGATGCCTCCGGGGGATCTGGGGACCTCGTCACGGCTGGAGCGCGCACGGCCACAGTGGCAGTGGGCTCACTTGGGGAGAGATCAACAAAAAAGGTGTTCGGCGAGTGAACTGCGCAGAGATACGTGCAAGGTTCACGCGCGTTCGCAGGCAGGAGTGAACGCGCGGTCTGTGCGAGGCCACTGCAGGCGTGTTTCACGCGAGGGTATGGCACGAGACGAGCTCTTCCAAGTCAGTTCCGAATTGCTCAAAGGGGGGCGGGGCCTCCAATTTCATTGGTTACATACCGGAGCGCCGTGCACCACCACAGGACCACCTGCAGACTTTGGCGACCGCCCTCGACGTCGCCAGCCTTGCGCCGTGCAAAGGCTACGACGAGATCGTGCAGGCGATGAAGCGCATGATGAAGAGCGAGAGCAACATACCTGTCGTCACCGAGGCACTTCGCGAGAGCCGAGGAAAAAACGACTGCATCGACATAATCATTCGCAGGTCTGCGCGGATTTCTTGCATCAGCGTTGGGCCCCACCCCCCTGGCGGCGCCTCCAGCGTCGCCTCTGGCGTGCTGTGCGCGCTGGTCTAGCGCCGATCCAAGGAAACCGCTCGGACCTCCGCAAGTCCATGCCTGTGTATCTTTGCAATTGCATGTTCTTCTATAGATCAGCACGCGGCCGCACTGCATACCTCCAGGACCGGCCTGGACAAGACTTCCAGGGCTTCGTGCTGTATCAAGGGACATATTGGCGTGACGCTGCAAAACTTCGCGGTGGGCGAGTAGTCCCACCAGGGCAGTCCAGTGAGGCAGGTTGAGAGCTTTTGTCCACCCGTTGTTTGCCAACCCGCGTTGCCTCCCCGCGCCCCCCTCCCGCCCCTTCACTGCTCGTTTTGGGGGGACCTTCCTGGGGCCCACCTCCGGATCTGTTCGACCCCAGGTCGCCGCAGGGTCGATTCCAGTTGGACTTACGTTCGACTCAGGTGCGACGCAGCTTCGACTCACTTACGTTCGACTCAGGTGCGACGCAGCTTCGACTCAAGGGTGGCTCGAATCGATGGACGTTCGACGCAAATTCGACGCACGAGCGGAGCGAGCGACTCCTGGAAGTGGCCTTTGAAGGAGCAGCCAACGCCCCAGGAGATCCGAGGGGTGGGGGGATGGGAGGTCTTCGGGGAGTGGGGGAGGCAGGAGCGAGACACGGGGGTCGAGCTCCTCCTCCTCCTCCTCCTCCTTCTCCTCCTCCTCCTTCTCCTCTTCCTCTTCATCCTCCTCCTCCTCCTCCTCCTCCTCGGCATCTTGGATGACCGCTTTTCAGTTCCGCGTGTTCTCACGCTCTCCCGCTCGCAAACACTCTTCCCGATTGCAGCCAGGACGCCGACAAAAGGACCGCTTTGGGTTCATTACTTTGCATCTTCGGGGGACCTCGCCTGTCCCAAACACTTGTGCCCGACGCGGGCCGATGTTCTTGTGCCCGACGCGGGCCCGATGCGGGCTCGACGCGGATGTGGCGTGGATTCGACGCGGATTCGGCGCGGATTCGATACGTTTCCGACGAGTCCGACGTGAACTCGACACGGATTCGACCCGGATAGGGCCGAGACGGGACAGTCAAGGTCCCCGATGATGTAGCCTCATTCCAGGTTGCAGCCAAGATGCTGAAATAAGGACCGTTTTGGGTTCAGAAGGAGTTTGTTGCTCCCCAGATCTGCCGTGGTTGCTCCTAGTGGCCCTCCTCGTGCACCCTGGCTCTGTTGGCGGCAAGCAGGGGCTTCGTTCCTTGTTCAAGACGCTTCGCGTTCACCGCCCGCCCACTTCAGTTCTCGCCGGATGAGGCGAAGACGGCTCCACGACGGCGTGAACATTTGCAGAAAGTCATACAAGACCCCCCTGCAGTTGTGTTTTGCTGCTTTTGCCTGCGCTTCATTGTTGTTCCCAACCCATAGCCTGTTCGGGTTAGGCATGCCGCGTGGCTGATCGATAGTAGATTTGCCGTTTGGTCGCCGTCCTCTCATCAGTACCGACGGATCAGTGATGTTGACGTTGGCTCTATGGGCCTTCTGTTTATTATTCACACCAGGAGGCCAGAAATGGCCCGAACATTTCCCAAGATCAACCCACAGCGGCCCGAACGCTGCTTAAATGGAGCCAAGCAGGGACCCATGCGGCACAGGCGGGCGTTGAACGGCCGAAGCGACAGCACGTCCGTGTTGGGCCGTACCTCCGCCGGAATGACATTGAACATCGGGCTGATTTGGGGCTGGTGGGGCCGGTTGGGGCGTTGTTTTGGGACCCGCGTGGAGCCCAGGAGCGTCCAGCATTGGTCCCGAATCGAGTCCACCAGCGAAGTACGTGTGGGAGCAGGTGTATGCAGGTACAGCACGAGTCGAAGGTCCCAGGCAGGTGGTCGGAGCTTTGACGATGCATGCAGGCGTCTGGGTCGACGTTTGTCTTTGACGTCATGTTCTGCTTGGGCGTGGACTCAGGCATGGCGTGCGGCGTCATGTGGCGTAAAGGCCATGGCACTTGACGCACTGTCCGGGATCTAGTTGCCTTCGTGTCTGTGTTGCGGGTTCCGAAGCTTCCTGGATGTTGCTCGGGGTTGCGTGGAATACCTGGTGAAGGCAAGTGGATACTGTATGTATCGTGTTTGCGTAGGTGCAGTCGGTATGACTCAAGTCGCACCGAAGTGGTATCGTTAGCGTCATGTGGATCCCTGCGGGCGCGGATCCCTTGTAGGGAGGTGTGTCGGATGCTTCACGGTTGAAGTGGCATCCCAGTGGCACCGTTGGAGGCAGATCGATCCAAAGGAGGGGGGGTGGAAGAGGAGGAGGAGGAGGAGGAGGAGGAGCAGGAGGATGAGGAGGACGTTGGGGAGGAGAGGGAGGACAGAGAGAGAGAGAGGAATGTAATAGGGTTGACGCAGGGAACGACAACGACGACGACGACGATCGCAGCGACGACGGCGACGACGACGACGACGATGACGTGGACGACGACACAGGTAGACCAGGCGTGAACCATAACAGCTTGTGTCCGCGAGCCTCCGGGATGCCTCTTGGGTGCTTCTTGCGTATGTAGATTTCAATTGGTACCGTTCGGGCACCAGAGAAGCCTTTCGGGCCTTGTTGGGCGTCGCGCTGGGGGCTCTTCTGCGCCTGTCGGGGGCGTCTTCGGGCTTATTGGGGCCCTGTTGGGTTTTGGGAGGGCTTTTGGGGCCTCCTTTGGGTCCTTGGGACGGAGGGTTCGAACAATTTGTTCGGGCTCCTCCTGTTGGGCCCCTCTTGGGCCGTCATGGGGCCTCTTGGGCCGCCTTAGGGCCCTCTTGGGCAATATCGGCGTTTTTGTTGGCAGCCTCCTGGGGCGATCTTGGAGCCTTTATGGCTGTCTTGGAGCCGTCTTGGGCCGCCTTCGGGCCCAGGTTTTGGTTTCCTCAGAACGATGTGAAAATCGAGTTCGTCTTGGAAGCCGTCTTGGAGACGTCATTGGGACCGACACGGGGCTTGGGCGCAGCCGGGCGGGGGGAAGGCGGAGGCCTCCAGGGGGGGATTCGGGGAGGGGACTAAAACACTATATAAGGGGCTCTCGCAGGGTCTGTAGCCTCGTCGCGTGCGGTTCTTCGCTCCCAGCCCCTGGCCTGGCCTGTCTGCTTGCGGTTGCTTCCCCTCCCCTCCTTCTTGTCTTCCTCCCTCCCTTTTTGCTCGCTGCCTCCTCCTCTTCTCCTTCCCTCCTTCTTGTCCTCCTCCTCCCCTCCTTTTCTTCCCTTTCCCCTCCCCTCCTTCTTGTCCTCCTCCCTTTCCTTTCCTCCTGCTCCCTGCCTGCTGTTCCGCCTACCCCTCTCCTGCCCGCCCCGCCAGCCCTTGCCTCCCGCACTGGACGTTCGTCTTCGTCTATCTGCTTCTCCCCTCCTCCTCCTCCTCCTCCTCCTCCTCCTCATCCCCCTCCTCCTCCTCCTCCTCCTCCTCCTCCTCCTCCTCCTCCTCCTCCTCCTCCCACCTCCTCCTCCTCTTCCCTCCTCCTCCTCCTCCTTCTCCTCCCTCTCCTCTCCTCTCCTCCCGCTTCTGTCATCCCTCACACATGTTTCTCTCCTCCCTTCTCCTCCTCCTCCGCTAGGCAGCACAGCCCGACCGGGACCAGCTGGGCGTATGCACCTGTAGGTGCGCGATTTTCTCGTCCCTCTGGACCGCCAAGATTGTAACTTCCCTGGCGGCCTCTCTTCTCTGGCGCCCGCCAGGGTCGGTTTTTTGGGGGGCCGCGCATGGAGGAACCCATTGCGCCACATGTCGTGCCTCGCGGCACGGTGGCGGAGTTTCGCGCGGAGCAGCTCTCGTAGTTAAGTTCCGGCCGGACGAAAGGGGGGGATAGGGAAAGGGGGCGTTGCATGTAGCTGGTTTCGGCCCCGCCGCTGGGCCCATCCCTCGCGATGCATGGGCGCCGGGGGGCGCCGGGAAAATCAGCTGCGTGAGCTGATTCCCAGACCCCCACTTTGCTGTCCCCCCCTTTCGCCCGGCCGGGAAGTCTCACACGCCCCTCGTCCCGGTGGGCGGGCGAATGCAATTGGGCTGCGGCATGCCGCCGACCCCCACCAGGAGTGAGTGGTTGAGACGATCGTGGACGAGACATGTTGGGTCAGGAGCCTCCTGATTGAATCTGAAGCTCTCTTGAGATGCATCTCTGGGTCCGGTTAGAGAACTCTTTGGGGGCAAGTGGGCGGCTTTGGGGGGCCTCGTGGGGGCCTCTGGGGGGCTCCCCGGGGGGCGTCTTGGAGGCCTCTTGGGGCCTCTAGGAGGGCCCTGGGGCCTCTGGGGGGGGCTAAGCGCTCCCCATTGCAGCAGCTCGACTGTATGCTCGCCCCGTCTGCTGTCGCTCCTCCTCCTCCTCCTCCTCCTCCTCCTCCTCCTCCTCCTCCTCCTCGGCATCCGCGGGCTCAGGCGGCCAAGTGCGTCGGCCTGATGGCCAGGGGCCTCCGCCGGGAGTTCGAGCGCGGCGCGCGGCAGCTGCTGCCGGTGATGCTGGCGAGGGTCAACGACAAGAGCGTGGGAGGGGGGCTCGGCTGGTTGCCCAAGGGAGCGTTTTTGGTTCCTCCCCATAGGGTAGCGCTCGTCACCGTGTGCCCCCCCCCCCCCGGGTAACGCAAACGATCGTACTGGGGGTTTGGCCTAGGCTCACCCTCCATGCTGGGGTGTACAGGCGATTGATGCGCCGGTGGCGCGGACGCACCCTGGCGGGTGCACGCCGCGGCCGCCGTGACTGTTACCCTTCCGCCCGACATCCCCCCCCGGGTGACGACAGTTACGCTGGTATGGAAGAAAAGGGTCAGTGGCGAGGCGTCATGAGTCATGGCTGGCTTATAGGCCCGCCAGAGACTGGCATGAAAGCCTGTTGTGGCCGGCGCAGCATGTTCTGGGAATCTTTCTGGCTGGGGCCGTCTTGTCTGGCTCCAGCGGCTTCATGCTATGAGACCATTGCGTTTGTTATTAGAGCAATAGTCTGTTTTAGGATCGGGCCGGACGAAGTTGCAGTATAGGCAAAGGGTGGGGTGCGAAATTTGGCGCAGCTGTTTTCGGCTCCGCCGCCGGGCCCATTCCTCGATGCGTGGGCGCCTCCCGGCGCCAGGAGGCGCCTGGAAAGCCAGCCACGTGAGCTGACTCTCTACCCTATGCGTTGCCATCCTACTTTTTCCTCCCCCCCGATAAGCACTCGAGTAGGGGATCGACTACATAATGGATATGCTCCACAATTGATTTGCCCGCGGGTCTACGAAGCATACGTCGACGGGTCCGAAGATCCAAGGAGCCCTCTACGCATTCTTCGTGGACTCCGGCGGGAAACTACATTTTGGGATGCATCAGTTCTGTAGTCAGGAACGCTTCGTGGTAGGCCTGCAGGACTGCCAGGATCGGGCCGGACGAAAGGGGGGGATTGGGAAACGGGGGGGTTACGATATTTGCTGCATGCAGCTGGTTTCGGCCCCACCGAGGTGCCCATTCCTCGATACATCGTCGCCTCCGGCGCCGGGAGGCGCCGGGAAAATCAGCTACGTGAGCTGATTCTCAACCCCCCCCTTTGCTATCCCCCCCTTTCGCCCGGCCCGAGCCAGGACGGTCGGTGCCTCCTCGGAGGAGGCCGCTCGCCCAGCGCACGGCGGCCCTCCCGGGCGCGTCCTCCGTCTGGGCCTCCGGGAGGCCGCTGTTCGCCACGGCCAGGTCCGCCCCGGAGCGCAGCTCAGGGTGGACTTCGTCGGGGGCGGAAAAGAGGGGGGGTGATGACTACGGGGGGGTGGATATCATGGCGGGGGCCATGATATCTCCCCAGATTTCGTGGCGCCTCTTCTTGTTTCATTACGTCCCTGGCCCCCCCGCTGGGCCGCGCACATGCCGCCAGTCATGATTTGCACCCCCCCTCTTGGACACCCCCCTCTTGGCCGCTCCCGACTTCGGGGAGGGGGCGGCCACGTGCATTCAGTAGGGAACAAAACACACAGACACAATGAATCGTCGATTCCCCAGAAAACATGGAAACATATGGGAAGTGGGGGGGGAAGACAAAAACCCAGAACATATGGGAAAATAGGGGGACTCCTGTTATTTGTGTTTATATATATATATATATATATATGTGTGTGTGTGTGCGTGTGTGTGTGTGTGTGTCAGGGCCCCTTCAGATCAGGGGTGGGCGGGTACCTCAAGCTCTAAGAACCTTTTGTGGTTTCCACGAAACGTTCTTTCGAACATTCTGGCGGAGTCGGTCTTGTCTTAACACATCGGGCGAATGTTCTAAGAACATAGTTTTTGTTATTGGAGCACTTTTGGGTTCTAAGAACATTTCGTGGTATGACTATAGGAATGCCAGGACTGTATGGCTCATGGGCTTGTGTCCCACCACCACCATAAGCTGTTGGAGGGGGAAGGGGGTGGAGGATCAGGAGGAGGACGAAGAGGAGCAGGAGGAGGAGGAGGAGGATCCCCCTCCCCCTCCTACTTGTGGTGGTGGTGGTGGTGCAAGACAGGCCCACACCAATGGTGGGGGCCAGGCTCTCTCCCCAGATGTCATGGCGCCCCTTCTTGTTTCAACACGTCCCCGGCCCCCCCCTCGGGCCGGGCGAAAGGGGGGGATAGCAAAGGGGGGGGTTGATAATCAGCTCACGTCGCTGATTTTCCCGGCGCTTCCCGGCGCCAGAGGCGGCTTTATATCGAGGGATGGGCCCCTCGGTGGGGCCGAAACCAGCTGCATACAGCAGATTTCGTAACCCTCCCTTTCCCAATCCCTCCTTTCGCCCAGCCCGACCTAGTTACTTTGCGAGTAGTGGAACGCGCTCGTCGATCGATTTACCGGGCGCCGCGCGAGCCAACCTGCCGCGGGCGCGCGCCTGCCACGAACCGAGCCTGGTCCCGTTGCACACCAGACCCGACTGCACACCGCCGCTCCAGCAGTCGACCGGGCCGAACGAAAGGGGGGGATTGGGAAAGGGGGTGGGGGGAGGGGGGGGGCTTCTTAGAAGCACCCCTGCTTCTTAGAAGGCGCGGGCCGTCTCTATAGATGTAGCCTACTTCTAAGAAGCAGCCTGCTTCTAAGAATCCCCCCCCCCCCCTCCCCCCACCCCCTTGTGCAAATCGCCGCTCCAGCAGTCGATCGGGTTACGAAATCTGCTGCATGCAGCTGGTTTCAGCCACACCGAGGGGCCCATTCCTCGGTACATTGCCGCCTCCGGCGCCGGGAAAAGGAGCTGCGTGAGCTGATTCTGACCCCCCCCCTCTTTGCTATTCCCCCCCCCGTTCGCCCGGCCCGGAACCGAGCCGGGCCTGGCCGCGTGGCACACCAGGCCCGGCGGCAAGCCGCCGCTCCAGCCCCGTAGTCGACCCCGGAGCCACGAGCGCGAGCCGCCCATGTCAGGCATCAGGCAGAGTGTCAATTCCCCGGAGCAGGTGACCAAAGTGAGGACTTGTCATGCTTCTGCACGCACGAAATGGGCACGGAAAGAATGGGTACAATGCCCAACAGCGGATCTTGTTCAGTTTGAACAGGGCTCGCTGTCCACGCCGCCGCGGCCTGTGTCCATTCGAGACAGGAGGCCGCCTGCCCAACAGCGGCCGCTGTTGGTTTGGGACAACATTTGCTGTTGGGCATAGTACCCATGTTTTCGGTACCCATTTCGGGCGTCCAAAATGCTGACAGCGAGGAGGACGCGCGGGGATGGCGACGGCAGCGGCGAGGAGAGGCGGGAAAGGACGGGCGACGCGAACGGTTCAACACAGTTGTCGGGATTGTTCTTTAACCACCCACTTGGGGAAACGTTGCTACGGTTGCTAGATTTGTTGTCGAGCGCACCATGTTGCGATGGTCAGAAATCAGGGCCCCCAGCAGTCAGAAACGGTGTTGCGTTCCCAGACGACGACGACGACGACGACGGCGGACCTTTCAAGGGTGGGTCGGGCGGGCGGGCTTTTGCAGGCGTGGGAGGGTCGGACGGGCGGGCCCCCTGACGGACGGGTCGGGCGCGTTGGGCATTGAAGCGCATTTCGCAAGTAGCTAAGTTTTGATGACCTTTTTTGGGGGGCGAGAGCGCGAGTCCCTAGTAAACAGCGGGGAAGTCTCGTGCGAGCGCGCGCGCTTCCTGAGCGTCCAGAGCGCTGCGCCTCCTTAGAAAGTGTATGGAGGTCATCGGCGAGATCTGGATTCCTGAGTAAATGGTGCGCAAGTTTCGGTCGAGGTGCGAGCCTTGGGAGGCGCACTTCAATGGAACAGATACACGCCGTGGGGAATCAACAATCTTTATCCTCAGACATGAGGAGTTCGACAAGAAGCATGCTACTGTCATGCGGCATGCTCCCATATGCCACATGCACCCATCATGACGATGCCACCCCCTTCGTGGGGGAGCTGCATCAAAACAGGGTGGCCAGGATTATTTCACCCAGATCTCCCCCCACGAGATCGAGCCATCTTTTGTGCCGGGGCACTGCACGATGACAACCACAGTCCGCACCGCGGATCCCTCGTTCATCCGCGCACCCAGGGACACTGCACGACCTTTCGGCCCCCTCACTCGGATAGTTTGTTCACATTGTTCGTTGTACGCTCGATTTCCACCGAGGGCTGCATCTTGGCTTCCTGGTGCGCGTGGTGCCCAGGGGTTTGGATGTTGCCACGACCGCATGTACCAAAAATACCTCAATGCCTTTGCGGACTTGCAGGGCCAGATCATTCTGAAGAGCGGATTGATGATCTAGCTTCAGGTGCGCTGTTGGGCCTTCACCAGACCGTGCCATCATGAGCACAGGCGCTGAGCCAACCCAGCGGCAGACCATGCTTGGAGGTTGTGGTATAGTTGGGACGATGACGACTGGACTGGACTGGACTGGGCTAGGGCAGTTGTGAAGTTGGTTAGCGAAGGTTCTGAGGGGAGTGCGGCGTGCGTGCAGGAGTGGTTGCAGTCGAGATCCGGAAAAGGGGGCCAGTGGAGGTGTGGAAGCCGAACGTTCTGATCGAGAGGGTCGAGCAGTTGGTGTGGGCCGTGCCGTTCGAGGCAGCTGTGGCGGCTGCTCGGTCGCCTTCGCTGCCTGACGATCGATGCTCGCTTGTCGGCGAGCTCACTTCATGACTGCAACCAGATGTACCGCAGATTCGCTCCGTGTTGACACGGCAGGCGTTATGGGTTGAACTCCACCAGTTGCCAGGGATTCGGCAAGTATATAATGATCTCCGCTGCCAGCAGAGCGGGTATCGTTGGAGGTGAAGCAACCCGCCCGGTGTCGGAAACTACCCTCGCGTCGTCGCGACGTGATCTTCCCTTACGGCAAGCGACTGGAGGAGAAGGGGGAGGGGGAGGAGGAGGCGGAGGAGGAAGAGGAGGAGGAGGAGGAGGAGAAGAGGAGGAGGAGGCGGAGGAGGAGGATGAGGAGGGGGAGGGGAGGTGGAGGAGGAGGAGGAAGAGGAAGACTTAGGGGAAGGTGAGTGTGAGGGTGAGGGTGGTGGCGAGGAGGAGGAGGAGGGAGGAGGGGAGGAGGGGGGGCAGGGGGAGGAGGAAGAGGAGCAGGAGGAGGAGGAGGAGGTGGCGGAGGTGGCGGAGGAGGAGGAGGAGAAGAGACAGATGTTGCCATGGGGGGACCCTGACGCGGACCCTCCCGCTGCGACGGGCCAGTGCTGCCGAACTGGGGAGGCGGGGTTTCGGCGCGCCCATGGCCCCTTTGCCTGGCGACCTCTGCTCTAGGCCTCCCAGAGGGGGTCTACCTTGTCTCCTCCCTCCCTCCCTCCTCTCCTCCCTCCTCCTGCTCCTCCTCCTCCTCCTCCTCCTCCTCCCTCCTCCTCCTCCTCGTCTCCTCCTCCTCCTCCTCCTCCCCTCCTCCTCCTCCCCTCCTCCTCCTCCTCTCTCCTCCTCCTCCTCCTCCTCCCCTCCTCCTCCTCCTCCTCCTCCTCCTCCTCCTCCTCCTCCTCCTCCTCCTCCTCCTCCTCCTCCTCCTCCTCCTCCTCCTCCTCCTCCTCCTCCTCCTCCTCCTCCTCCTCCTCCTCCTCCTCCTCCTCCTCCTCCTCCTCCTCCTCCTCCTCCTCCTCCTCCTCCTCCCCCTTCTCCGCCACAGTGGAAGTCCATGCCAAGAACATCTATGCCTCCCAGATGGGGTCGGAATAGATGGGGTCGGAGGATCGCAACGCATCGCCGATGCATCGACGCTGCGGCTCGATGTGGAGACCGTGTTGACCTTCGCTGACGTCGCCGATGCATCGTCGAATCGGCGATGTGTGGCCGATGCTTCGGCGATGCATCGGACTCCATCTAGGAGGCCTCCCCTCGCGTTGAACATATTTATATAGTGATATATGTACTTTGAGAAAAAATCATGACAGAGAAGGAGTAAACGACGGACGGTCTTTCGCTATTTTCGGCCTCCAGGAGTCCTTGCTGAGCCTCGGGACCGTGAAAGTGGCTCGGGGACGCGACGCCGGTGCTGGGGAAGGGGTCCAGACCTCTGGGGTCGACGCTGCGGAAGCGTCGCGGCGTCGGGGGTCTGCGGGTGTTTTTGATGGCTTTGCCAGTGGGGCCCCGCGAGGGCCCCCGGAGCCCGAACACGGCACACAGCAGCCCTTCGTGATTTGTATTCCCCCCCCCCTCTCTCAATGCAGGAGAGACCACCCCGACCCTGGCAGTGGGCGCTGACTGGACGGCACCGGGCGTCTGCTGGACAGCCTTGCCTTGCTCGAGTCCTTCCTCGCGTGCGTCTACTGAGGGGTTTCGCTTGTAGGGGTGCTTCTCACGAGGGGGGACGCTCTGCCCCTGCTCTCCCCTCCTGGTGCCTTGCGCCCCTCTGGATCGGGCCCCCGAGAGGTGTTTTTCGAGGAGCTGCAGCCGCACATCGCCAGCAAGAGCGCCTTCGTCAAGAAGGCGCCGACCTGCGCCCCATCCCCGCGGGGGCCTTGCGGCGCGGGTCACTGCAAGCGGGGGTCAGCCAGAGCAGGATCCTGTAGGGCCAGGGTCGCACTGAACCGGGCTCGGGTGCAGGATCCTGCAGGATGATGCAGGATCCTGCCAGACCTGACCGACCCGGTCCTGGATTGGCCCGGGCCAGTAGATCTCCGATCCTTCTTCGGAGTGGTGCTGCTGCGGGCTGCGCACAGACGAACCCCGCAGGGAAGTTCCGTCCAACAGGCCCCGCGAGTACGCAGTTCCAGCTTGCCTCCACAGGCCCCCCCCATACAGTGGAGACTCATACCAAGAAACACCTTGCTTGCCTCCAGGGTGCCCTGGGTTTCTTGGGTCTCGATGGCTCTGCTGTGGAAGGCGTGACGCTCCCACACCAAAAATCAATGGACGTCCTGGCGTCTCAGGGTTGGGCTTCTTGCGGAAGGTCTCTTGTGGACCGGCCTCCACTGCAGTCCTATCACATCGGGTCTATGTTCTAAGAGTACTGCTTTTGTGCTTAGAACTTTTTTTTTCTGCTCTGAGAGCATGTCGTGGTAGGACTCTAGGAATGCCCGGACGGCTTGGCCCCTGCTCACGTCCAGGGCGGTCGCAGCACCCCGGGGCGCCCCCCGTGGACCCCCGGGCGCCCCGGGCCACGGCCCCTGCCCGCCTCCGGGGCGCCGCGGCCGCCCCGGACCACTGGGATGGGGGCCCTGGCATCGCTCGGGCGTGTGCATTTGTTCTCGGCGAGGGCGATCGAGGAGCATCCTCGACCATCTGGCGAACAAAGCCACGCGCGAGACCGAACAAGAACACACAGGGAAGGGACGTCCGAGCGATGGCCGGGGGCCTGCGGCCGCCAGCCGGGGCCACTCGGGGGGTCTGAGGCGACCAGCCTCGGCGACTTGTGGGGCCCGTCTGTGCGCAGCCCGGAGCCCCGCCATCTCGGAGGAGAGACGACCGTCGAGCAGTGGCGGAGCGTCCTGGCGCGCCCATGGTCCTACCAAACGATGTTCTGAGGACCTCGTGTGGTTCCCACGAAATGTTCTTAGAGCACTTCTGGCTGGGACTGTCTTGCTTTCTCACATCGGGTCTATGTTCTAAGCACATTGCCTTTGTTCTTAGAACAGTTCTGGGTTCTAAGAACATTTCGTGGTAGGACTAGGAATGCGGGGACGGTCGGTCCCTGCTCAATGTTGCGACCAGCCTCGGCGATTTGTGGAGCCTGTCTGTGCGCAGCCCGAAGCCCTGCCATCTCGGAGGAGAGACAACCGACGCCACCCAGGGGTGCCACCTCCGGCGAGGAGGTCCACGCGGCCCTCCCGAGCTGGGGATATAGGGGATGTTCCGCGCCGGGAGGGGGGCCGCACCGCCTTCCCTGGCGCCTCGCGCTGGTGGTGGCGGTGGTGCCGCCTCCTCCCTGTTCCTGTCGCTCCGGGTGGCGGGCGAGGGGCACGGCGAAGGGGGGAGGGGAAGAGAGCCTGAGCAGCGGCAGCAGGGGAGGGTGGAGAGTGAGAGGATGAAGAGGAGGGCGCGGCCGAAGATGCCGGCGACGGCGAGGACTGAGAGGATGGAGGCGAGGTGGGGGGCGAGGGGGACGGGGACGAGAAGGACTGGGGCCATGCCGGTGAGGAGAACGAGGCGGGCGTGATGCGTGCGAAGGCGCGGGAGCGAGGAGGACGAGGGAGGTGGCCGTGGCATGGCGAGGGCGAGGAGGGCGACGGCGAAGAGCAGGGCAGGGACGAGGAGGAGTGGGAGAGAGATCGAGAGGAGAGGCTCGGCAGGTCCGCGCCGCGTCGGTGTGCGGCGGCGGCGCGGCCGCAGGCGCTCGAGGCCGAAGGCCACCCGCGGCCAGAAGCAGCCGAAAGTTTAGCGATCTCCCCTGTCGAGTTGCACGAGATGCTCAATTCTGGACGCCCGAAATGGGTACGGGAAGAATGGGTACAATGCCCAACAGCAGTTCTTGTTCGTTTTGAACAGGACTCGCTGTCCGCGCCGCCGCGGCCTGTGTCCATTCGAGACAGAAGGCCGCCTGCCCAGCAGCGGCCGCTGTTGGTTTGGGACAACATTTGTTGTTGGGCATTGGACCCATTCTTCCCGTACCCATTTCGGGCGTCCAAATCAATACATCAAGGAGTGGCGAAGCGTCCTGGCGCGCCTACAGCCCTACCAAGCAATGTCCTGAGAGCCTCCTGTGGTTCCCACGCGATGTTGTTGGAGCATATCTGGCTGGAGCTGCCGTGTTTTATCACAACGGGTTCATGTTCTAAGAACGTTGCTTCTTCTCTTAGAACACTTTGGGGTTCTAAGAACACTACGTGGTAGGACTATAGGAATGCGGGGACGGTCGGCCCCTGCTCAAATACCTTCGACCCGCACAGCGAGGACGGGCACCTTCCCAAGGGTACCCCAGATTTCGTAATAAAGGGAGGGGGGTCTCATTTCGGGGGGGGTCTCTTCCAGGCTATCTTGGAGGGCATGGGGGGGTCTGAGGACGATGTTTTGGAGGGTTCTCCCACGGGGGAGGTCTGAAATGGCTGTCTTGGAGGGTCCAGACCCCCTCCCTTTTATTACGAAATCTGGAGTCCTCCTTGCCTCCTTGCCTCCTCGGTCCAGCCTTGGCGACCTGCGCTGGCTGGCCCCCCGTTCGAAGAGGCGTTGTCGTGGCCCTCCAGGGCCCCTGCATCCTCACCGCGCATCTGTATGGAGGAGGAGGAGGAGGAGGAGGAGGAGAAGGAGGGGGAGGAGGAGGAGGAGGAGGAGGAGGAGGAGGAGGAGGAGGTGGAGGGGGGAGAGGAGGAGGAGGAGGAGGAGGGGCGGGGGGGGGGATGGGTAGACTGTATTCGAGTAGGGGGTGGATCGACCACAGACTTGGTTTGCCCCAGGCTAGTTTTCGCGTCGAATCCGCGGAACATACTTGAAAGGCTCAGTAGACTTGCGCACACTCCTTAGGCATACGTCGTACACTCGATGGGGCAACAAAATTACGGGGTCAATCAGTTCTATGGATATTGACCAGCTTGGCATCCGGAGCCAACGTCCGCGTGATCGCGGCAGCAACCGGCCGCATGGTCGGGAGAAGGACGGTGAGGGAGACATGGGCCGAACGAAAGGGAGGGATAGGGAACGGGGGGGTTACGAGATTTGCTGCATGCAGCTGGTTTCGGCCCCGCCGTCGGGTCCATTCCTCGATACATGGGTCCCTCCCGGCGCCGGGAGGCGCTGGGAAAATCAGCTAAGGCAGCTTCGTGCGGCGATGGCGCGCCCGCGACGCCGGCGAAGGCGTTTTAGGTTGAACGCCTCATGATAGAACGACGCGGAAGTACCGAGGGACAATGCAGCGCCGTTGGACCCGACGGAATTCTACCTTGAACGTTCGGGGCCGCGATCGATTCAAGATTGAACGATCGACGCGGTGTCAAAAACATTTATGCGCGTCGACGCCGCACAAACCTACCGTGCCATGAGGAAGGCGCACGAGACCAGGCACGCCGTGCTGCCTCGTTGCTCGTGCCGGTGATCCATAGGACGTGTGTTGGCCCAAGCGTGCGTTTACCCAGCTCGGTTCCGCCCATAGCGCGCAGACTGTGTGGGCCCTCGTGGCGCCGCTTGCGTCGTGTTGAAGGGCCTCGGTGAACAAACACACGTTAGCGCTAACACACGTTCTGAGGATCATCGATCGTGGGCGAAAGACAGAAACAGTCAACGCGCATAGGAAGGACGCGCGCCTTTTCTAGGGCTCCCTTGTGTCCTTGCCTCTGCGGCCCGTCCTTTTGCCTTTGTTCCCACTGGCCAGCCTCTCAGGGAACCCCTGGGGCTGGGTCGCCCGCCGCCCAACAAAAACACAACTTCGGCCTCCAAGGGTCTTGCGTCCCTGCCACCCGTCCCCACTAGACGCTTTCGCTGCATGTGCATCCGTGGCCTCGCGGGCCTGGCCCCCGGGGCGTGACCCCGGGGCCACCGGGGCGCTGCCCTGCGGGTGCCCCGCGCAGAGCTCCTCCGTGCGGCCCGCGTGTCTGTGGGATCGCCCCCCCGGACTCCCGACCTTGAGGGCTACGCTGTTGATGCGTCCGCCGCTCGTGCGTTGCTCAGGAGGACAAGAAACACACAGACACACTTAATCCTCGATTCCCTAGAAAATATATGAAAATATAGGAAGTGGGGGGGAAGACAGAAACCCAGAAAACATGGGAAAATATGGGGAATCTGTTTATTTGTGTGTATTTATTTGTGTGTCCTGGGGCCCCTTCAGTTGCCCCCGGGCGGGGAGGCAGGGAGGAAGAGGGCAAGTGGCTGACGCGGCCTGCGATGAGGGGGCGCGGAGGACCAGGCGCGCCGCCATCCTCGCTGCCGCCCCGCGAGGAAGCCATGAGCCTGCTGCTGCGCGTCATGGGCCTTCCGCAGGTGCTCAAGAATTGCCCCGACGCGGCGCAGGAGCCACGCCCGCGGGGGTGGGGTGGCAGGCAGGCAGAGCGGCCGGAGGAGACACTCGAGGAGCACACAGCGGCCTAACGACAGCTTTTCGGCGGTCCGCGCGGACTTTTCGGATCGGCGCTGGGGGCCTCACGGCGCCTCCAGCGCCGCCCCTGGCGCGTCCCGTGCGCTAGGAAGGGGTGCCCAGCGCCGATCCAACTCAGTGCGGCTCTCCGAATGTGTATGTTTTTAATGCATTTGTTTTTTCCTTGAAGAGCGAACAGATGCGAGACCGCATGGAGAGGCGGCCACGTGATGGAGAGAGTGCGCGGGCTCGGGTCGCACGCCTTCTCCGAGGAATTTCGCGCAGGGGAGGACAACATACAGCGCGGCACGGTGAGAGATGATGTGCGTTTGGTCTGTCGTTTGCCTTTCGCGGGCGTATCTAGATGTTTTGCAGTGAGATGTTGCTTGCTTGCGTGTTTGCAATCGGTTCTTGTTGCCGACGTGAAGCTGTGTTTTTTCCCCGAGTCCGCTGCTGGCCCGCCGGCGGGGCTGGCCGCGCCACGCGCCACGCGCGCTACGTCCGCCCCCTTTTTCGACCGCGTCCTCCTCCTCCCCCCTCGCATGGTGGCAGAATGTGCCGTGACGGCGCCCCTGTTTAGGCCTGGCCGCTAGCGCAAACTTCTCGCCGCCGATACAAACAAAAGTCTCCCCCGGGGGTCGTCTTCGGCGCCGCCCCTGCCCGCGCCCGGCCGCTCATTGCTGTGCCCGCTCCCTGCCTCCCGTGCGCGGGGCGACGCTGGTTTGCGCCTGCTTCGGAGCAGCGGGTGGTTGTCTCCGGGGCGGGGGCGCGGTGAAGGCGTGGCCGGGCGGCTTGCACACTAAAGCGCCTACCTTTCCGCTGGGGACGGCGCGGGGGCTCAGCTGGGGCCCTGGAGAATCCGCCTTTCTGGGCGGGGGGATCGGATAACAATTCGTGGAAGGTTGTTTTGAGGTGAGCGTTCGCCCCGGGCAGAGCCAAACACATGGCAGGCAGTGGCAGCACGTGGCCGATGACATTGCAGCAACTGGCCGCAGTGCTTCATTGCGTACGCATCAGCTCATGCCTGCGTCTAAAAATGTGAGTAAGCCTGAGCGCGGGATGATCGAGTATGAATACGGGATGATGCATGTTTTTTGTTCCGCTCGGGGCCTCGCAGGCGAGCCGTCTATCTGGAATCGTCGCTTCGCATAGAAGCAACATTAAGCATGGGAGCTGGCGATTTCGCGGACGTTTGCGTTTCTCTTCAGAGAATGCAGGACGTGGCAGGGCTTGCCGAGCATGAGCAAGTCTTCGCAGGATCTGCGCTCCGCGTCCGCGTGGTCCTGCAGGCACTTCGGAGGCTCGTCGCGGACGTTTGCGAACGTTTGGAAATGCGTCGGGGGCAGTCCGGATGAAGTGTGAACACGTTTCTTGGGACAGAGCCCACATGCAGTCTGCCGGCCTTTTGGAGGCGCATCGCGAACGTTTGCAAGCATTTTGAATACGGTGTCCAGCTCTGTTCGTCACTTTCGAAGCACTTCGCGAACGGTTGCAGCAGTTTAATGGCACCTCCTGGACATTTTCGGTCACTTTCGAGGGCAGTTCTTGGGACAGCGGCCCACAGCACGTTGGAGGGGCAGGGAAAGCGTTTTGTGATCGTTGGCGGGCACCTTGGAGGAGATGCCGGGACACTGGGGCATTTTCGCGGCCCCGTGCGACTGGTTGTGAAAGTTCGCGCGCCCTTTATTGGCGTACTTTTGGTAATTTGCTCAATTAGTTTGTGAGCGTTTGCGAGCACGTCGGGAACACTGTTGGGCTTCTGGAACCACTTTCTGGCAATTTGGGGGGGTTGAAGCACGTTTGCGAACGTATGCGAACGTTTGTAAGCACGACGGGGGCCGTTTCGGGCAGTTCGGGCACTTTTGGGAACACGTGTTGAATAAGTATACAACAGCGGCTAAAGGTTCCCAAGAGTGCCCCGACGTGCGCGCACGCGTTGCAGGTGCTGCGGAACTGCTTAGAATTGAACTCACCGTGATTGCAAATGTTTGCAACACGCCTCCAGACTGCGTTGCCCGACGGCGTTTGCCAACGCCCGAAGACGTTCCCGAAGTGTTTCAATGATGCTGCGCTGGGCCTCCGACGTGTCTGCAAACATTCGCAGGGCGCTTCTAAAGAGCCCCCACCTTGCATTGAGTATTTTTTTCCAGCACATGTGCTTCAAACTGCCGGATATGCTTCCGACGTGTCGGGGAACGTTCGTAAGCTCCCGCGCAGCGTTTCAAAAGGGCCCAGCATCTGAAGGAGGATGAGGAGGAGGAGGAGGAGGAGGAGGAGGAGGAGGAGGATTGATCGATTGACTGATCACTTCGCTAAGCAGGAGGCTCGGACAAGAGCAAGGAACGAATCGGCAGGCGAGCCAGCTCGGACGCAGATGGCCAGACGACCCACAGGAACGGGCCCGCACCGCCCGGCAGGCAACACCTCGTACCCCTCCTCCTCCTCCTCCTCCTCCTCCTCCTCCCCCTCCTCCTCCTCCCCATCCTCCTCCTCAGCCGTTTTGGCCCAAGTGTTTTTGGGCTTGCAGCAGCAGTCTTCAGAGCGGCAGTCGCTGCTGCGTGCCTTTTTGGCTGCAGTATTTCGGGCCTCCGAGGAGGCGTGCTATCCTGCCCGGCAGCTGGGCCATCCATGGCCAATGGCGGAGGGGGAGCTGGAGACGTTCTGGCGGGCCCCCGCCTGCCCACATGGGCTTGCAGCGCATGCGGGAGAAAGTCTAATTGGGCAAGCCGCATCGCATGTCAGTGCGGAGAACGTGCACCACCCGACGTGGCTCGTCGTGCTCGTGAGCGTGCTTCTACTACTGAGCGTGAACGCCCTCCTCGTCGTCGCACGCAGGCTGGCCATGGCCCGCCCCAGCAGAGACTCGAAGCGCTGCAAAAGAGGTTCGATGCGATAGTGGCGTCCAAAGGGGATGGGCCCAGCCCAACTCCTCCTGCGCCACAGCTCGAAGCTAAGCAGTTCACCGAGGCCGACGAGCTCCAGGATAAGATCAAGCAGCTGGAGAGCTCGATTTCATCGTGCAAGTCACTGCCTGGCGAAGTTGGTAAAGAAGCATGTGAGTCGCTGGAGAGGCAGCTGGCGGATGCACGCAAGTCATGGGCGGCTACGAAACCAGAACTCACCAAGCATGCGAATATTGGGCATCGGCTGTCTCGCGCGACGACGCGCAGGCAGAAGCTCGAGCATACCATCGCGGAACAGTTGGAGGTTATTCATGCAGCCGAAGAACGAGTTGACACTCTCCGTGCTCAAGTCAAAGCAGCTGATGAAGAGATTACGTTACTCAACCGCGAGCTGGTCGACACTCTACCGATGGCCCCCAAAGTCAATCTGGAGGTCGATCGGGCAGCATTGGATCAACACCCTCAGGCTGAAGCGCTCAAGGCTTTCATGCAGTCCGAAACGTGCAAGGTGTTTGCAGAGGTTCTTGGAGAGAGTCTCAGGGCGCGAGAGGCGCCCAAACCCGCGGCGGCGACATCACCATTCTCGACTCAACCTGGTGACGATCGTGCGCCCCCTCGCCCACCTGCTGAGCCTGATGACGGCAGCTGCAGCGGCGACCCTGGCGCGGCTAACGTACGAGTACCCGGCGACATGGGCCTGGATGACTCGATGACACCACCATCGACGACATCGTCCAAGCCGCCAGGGAGGAGGGTTTTGATACTGCCTTTTTTTCTGAGCGGTTCGGCAGCCAGCTGCGCCGCGTGAAGCCGCGCGTTTAGCCAGAGTCTGCCGCTGTGCTGCGGACTCAAGCTTTCTAAATTCGGAGTTCCTGCTCCACCTCCGCCCCCCCCTGCCTCGCCCCACTTGCCCTCCGAGCTTGTTGGCCAGGGCAGCTGCTCCGAAACGTATAACGGCAACTGCTGGTCCACTCCACGAGAGCGTTTGCGCATTTCTTCGGCAAGTATCCTGCTGGCGCAGGAGGTGGGCTTCCTCGAGGAGCGAGAGGGTGAAGAAGCTAGTGCTGCGGGGGCTCTCGGGTGGAAAATGCTTTCTCCCCCGCCCCCCCGTGGCGAGGGTAACCGGACCAGGGCGGGGGTGGCGGTGTTCGTTCGCTCGCACCTTCGCCTTCAATGGCCAGCGGTTCGCAAGGGGATCTTGTTTCCTGGACGCCTGATCCACGTTGTTGTTGACATGCCTGGATGGCCCCCCTTGCAGGTCGTTAGTGGTTACGTCAAGAGCGGGGCGGGTATGTGCAAGTTACACGTCCAGTTGCTCCGTCTTATGGGCGAACGCCTGCAAGGGGAGCACATGTTTCTTGTCGGATGCGACTGGAATCTAGACCCCATGCTTGTGGGCGCGTTTGGCGTGGGTTCTCGGACGGGGGGGGGCAATGTCCGTTCTTGGTCAAAAAACGTGTCTCTCCCCTAATATTCTGACCACGATCGATTACTTTCTGGTTAGCTCTGGCCCCGCTAAGGCCAGTGACGGTATTCAGGCGGTCCTCGACTGGGCCCATCGGCCCCGTCGACCCGCGGTCCTCGGGCTGAAATCCGACGCCATAAGATGCTATCAGCTCCAGTACCGAGCCCACCATCGTTTGCCCACACGTCTGCCTGTGGGACCCTTGCCCAAGCCACAGGACTGGAGACTTGCTCGTTCGGTGGCTGAAGCGGCCGCCGAAGCTGCTCTTGAGGCCCCTGTTGGGCGGGCGTGGGCCCTGCTCTCGATCGCGCGGCAGCACTTTGCCAACACCTTCGAGCTCGAGCTCGAAAGCTATACGGGAGAGACGGCGAGGTGCAAAGGTGTTCGATGATATTATGTTAAACCAAAGTGGGCTCCGATTTTTTGCCAAGCCTCGGTCGATTGAAACTCTGTCTGTTTCTCGGGGTGTCTTGTGGTTGGCGCAGCATCTTAAAGAAACGCTTGAGGCCTCTGCGAGGCTGCATCAGGCGGCCGAGAAGGCTGCTGAGGAGCCCGAGGGATTGGATGA